TGTGTGTGTGTGTGTGTGTGTGTGTGTGTGTGTGTGTGTAACTTGCTCTCTTTGAAAAAAAACCTGCAAAGGTGATTGCTTTGAGGCAGAGACTTCAGCAAGTCTGCCATTCAGCAAATACTTGTGCTGTATATTGGAGGGAAGCTGAAGAGGGAAATGGTTTTAGCATTAGGGCCCTGTTGTGGTACCTGGCAAGCCTTTGGAGCTATTGGTGGGACATAATTTTGTCAGTCATAATTCATATTCAGGAAACAAGTGGAAACTGACAAAGGCCCAAGAAATGTCAGTGTTACAATGGAGTCCTTCAGTCTCCAAGGATGGATCTGGACTGCAAGGTTTAAACTTATGTCTTGACCTGACTCTGCAGGATGGCTCTAAGGTGCTCTGACTTCTAGATGATATGAAAATTCTTATAATGTCAAACTCAACTTTTTCATTTCCTTTTTTTTATTTCAATCATCTCCCAAATCTTTAGTCCTTGGAGCAGCTTAACATCACTTTTGAATATCCAGTGTGAATTGGCAAGGAAGGCAGGAATCCCAGCTTGACAAGATATTGTTAATATCCAATTATTGGATATTAATATTTCCTATTGTATTGTTAACTATTTAAGCAATTTTTGGGGGAAATGTGACCTGCCAAGAGTGAGAAAAGCGTTAGCTAATAGTTCTTTTTCTGAGGCTGTCATCTTGCCGGGTAACAGAGCATGTCTGCCAAAGACATGGCTTAATACCAGATCACTCATACCGGTCGATGCTGTTCCTCTGGAGCATCTCACTCGTTTAACGTCTGAAGCCTGATCCTGGAGGCTGACCTCCACAACATTCCTCTTGAAGTGGAGCCTTTTTCATCAGCGTACCGCCGATGTCACGGATGAGTCCAGAAGATAACTGGTATTTAATCATAACCTGTAATACTGATGATGGTTACTGGAATGGGTGCTTTCCATTTGTCTCCTGGGCTTCTTGCAACCTTAGAAAAAGAGACGGTGAGCTTCCTGTCTTGCTGGCCTAACCCACCCACACCAGGTCTTGTGAGAAACTTTGGCAAGACCTCCAGTGCTGCACCTTCAGTTTGCCTCTACCTTTCAGCCATCCCATCCCTAAAAAAAAACTAGGCTTGCCAGGAAGCAATTATTTTTGACTGGTGGATCTTAAGTGTTGAACTGAATTGAGTGGAATACTTTACGTGGCAAAGTGTGACTAGACACAAAAGGACCTTGTCTCTGGTACAGAAGGACTTAGTGTTGCGTTTCCTATTTAATAGATTTCACCAAGAGAAATGGAAGGTGGTTTTTTTTTTACATCCGATGGCTGACCTGCAACACTTTAGCAGTCTTATCCAGGTACCAAAGTTTCTTATTGTTGCTCTTCAAAGGATCCTTCCACGGTTGAAGGAAGAAGACTTTCACATTATAATCTGGTCTTGACCTCCTCATTGCCTGAGATTTATGGCGATGCTCCTGTTCAACTTTTGACTTGCCCATAGGTTTCTATGTAGGGCATTTTTGGTGCTGCAGTCGCCACAACCGGAGGCTTCTGGTCACCCCCTTGTGTATCTTATTGTGAACTGGCCACCTTTCTTTTCCCCTTCCCCCCGGGGTCTCTGTTAACGGGGTTCAGGGGTGAGAAGGTTTGCTGCCCCTTGGAGCCCCCCTTTGTTCTCTAGCACCACCTTCCTTCAAGGACCTTTGCCAACCTTTCCAGGCTGCCTGGCGTGTTTCTGGAGCTTCTCAGATGCATCCACTGGGGGGAAAACCGATGGTCTGTTTCCATAGCCTCCTCTTGCCGGTTCTTCATCGGTTCTGGGCTGCTGTGGCTGCAGTAACGTCCTCCTCTCCCCCTTGCTTGTCAAATTGTTGGCTGTATTATTTGGTTAACTTGGCAACGCTGAA